TCCAACCTGCGATCGTAAAGGCATACCTGAGATCGCAAGGAGACAACCTGCGATCGCAGGTTATGCCTAGGACGTCCGAAATTTTGTCTACTTTTCAGATCATTTTGAATCGCGTCAATCGGATTTACGGTTCTCGAGATATGGTCAAAATACTGACAGGGGGTCAAAGCTGCCAGCAACATCCTTTAACTTTAGATTGCCGATTCTATCTTCTTGTGAACAATTCAATCGAATGTTTCTTAACCAAATCATCTTCCAAACATTCCTCAACATACTCCATAAGTCCCAAGCTCCATTTTAAGCTCCAAACACGCATCCAACTGCTCCCAAAGCACTACTCCACTCGAACTATCTGAAAGTGACATAAAAACATGAGCAGTATGGGAATTCTAACGAAAGACATGAGCTGAACATTATTTATCTAAATGACATGAAAATGCACAAAATATGATGCTAAAATGATGATAAAAACTACCCTATAAGATGCATAAAATGGCATCTAACAGAGGGCAAACAAGGAAGATTGAGGAGCTCATATCTACCACCATTTGATCAGAAGAGGCTGCTAGAGGTACTAATCTGTGCTCAATCTCGTGTATTTGGTGATCTACTTGAATCTAGGGTTTTCTTATGCCTTCTTTGGTTTGGATTCGAAGTATGTGAGGTCCCAAGGTGGAGTTCTTCTTAGATCTGGACCTTAAGAGGTCCAGAGAGTCCTATCTATCTTGCTTTTTGTTATTCCATTAGAGATATGACCCTAGGTTGCCATTTTAGAGGCTATTTCACCAAAAGAAGCTTTGTGGACGTTGCATGAGTGTAAAGGTCGGACCTTTACGTGATTATAGTGGTTGGGAAGGCCAGATCTATAGGTTAGAGAAGCAGATCTGACTCCAGAAGGTCATTTGAGTGTTGCCATGGAAGGAACTCGCCGAGTCCATAAGGGGACTCGACGAATCGAGTCGGGGTTGCCCCGCGATTCATGACAGGTGTAACCCGTCGAGTGAAGGGATGACTCGACGTGTCAAGTGAGACTAGAAGGATTCATAGGACCCGCATGGACTCGTCGAGTCGCCCATGTGCACTCGACGAGTCGGGTCAAAGTTTGACCGTTGACTTCAGTTGACCTTAGGGTTTTGGTCAAGCTGATTCAGGGGAGTTCAGGGAGGGGTAGGATGGCCTTCTACCTAATCTTTAGAGACGAGGCGATGAGAGAGTATTGATCAGGAATGTTATTATGTTAATAAGAGGAGGCTAGGTCGGGTTATCGAGCACGAGTGGTCATCCGACATCGTACGAGGTGAGTCTTCTCACTATACTGTACCTAGAGTGGTACCTATGTGTGACCGGAAGGTCTTATATGCTATGAGATGTATGTGTTGTATACTGTTATATGATATTGATGTGTTATGTATGTTGTGAATTCTAAGGACCGGAAGGTCATTATGATATGGACCGGAAGGTCAAGATGATATGGACCGGAAGGTCATTACGGGTAGGACCGGAAGGTCTACTGTAACAACGTAAATTTCCAATATATCCCATGTTATCACAATAAACAAATCCCAAGATCCTCAAATACATAAATCCTCTCAGTGTGTACGGATCATGCCGGCGCCTTCCCACGATCCTTGCTAGTACCTGAAACACATAACACAACAACTGTAAGCATAAATGCTTAGTGAGTTCCCCAAAATACCACATGCAACACATACGCCACTCGAGGCTACAATACGACCCTCCGGTCGATGTGCCTCAGCGGGACCCTCCAGTCCCGTAGCTCGTTGGACCCTCTGGTCCGGTCATAGCTCGTCGGACCCTTTGGTCCAGTCTGTGTGGTTGGACCCTTCGGTCCGGTCTATATCGTTGGGACCTCCGGCCCGGTCTATTCAACACATAGCATACATATAACACAATGCACATAACTCATATCTATACACATAGCATACAAGACCCTCTGGTCTACACATAAATACCATTCTAGGTAATGTATAGTGAGAAGACTCACCTCAATGAAGTCGGATAAACTCTCGTGCTCAACGTCCCGACTTAGCCTCCTCCTATTATTCAGATAACATCCCCGATCAATATTCTCTCATGATCTCATCTCTACAGATTGGGTAGAAGGTCATTCTACCCTTCCCTGAACTCTCCTGAATCAGTCTTGACCAGAACCCTAAAGTCAACGAAAGTCAACGGTCAACTTTGACCCGACTCGTCGAGTGCACAAGGGCGACTCGGCGAGTCCATGCGGGTCCTCTGAATCCTTTCAGCCTCTCTTGGCTCGTCGAGTCATCCTTCCACTCGACGGGTTACACCTGTCACGAATCGCGGGGCAACCCCGACTCGACTCGTCGAGTCCACTTATGGACTCGGCGAGTTGCCTCCATGTCACGTAAAGGTGCAACCTTTACGTGCATGCAACCCACAACAAGTCATAAATGGAGAAATAACTCTAAAAATGGCAACCTAGTCCCCAATCTTTCATTTGCTTGCATAAAGCTAAGGGATAGTGACTCTATGGACCTATCATGGTCCAAATCTGATGCTATTAACACAAAGGGGACCTCATACTCACTAGATCTTACATAAAATGGAGACAAAAACCCTAAAATCATGAAATCTATCATATCAACACGAAATAGAAGGGATTATACCTCCAGAGATGAACTCTCAAGATGATTAGCCCAGATCCAAGCTCCCTTCACGCTCTAGATGGGTGTTTCCTTCTTCCTTCTAGCAAAACTACACCAAAAGTGATGTATTAGCCTCTTCTTGCTCTCAACTCTCTTACTGCTCTCTCTAGGGTTTCTCTGGGGTGCATTGGCCGCAAATGGAGGCCATAAAGGCCTTTAAATAGGGCACAGGCCCGGGGATTTAGGGTTTCACTTTACAGCGCGGACTCGCCGAGTCCACGTATCTACTCGTCGAGTCCGGTCATTAATCCAGTCAAGAACTCGCGATCCTACTCGGCGAGTATGAGCGTCTACTCGCCGAGTCCCTTCATAAAACCCAAAGTAAATAACTAAAATAAGATACCTGGGAATCCGGATGTTACATCTACCAGGGTTGTGGGACGGAAGTCCTCTGAGACACAGTGACCGAAAGGTCTTATAGCCTTGAGTGGCGTATGTGCGTATGTGGTATTTTGGGGAACTCACTAAGCATTTATGCTTACAGTTGTTGTGTTATGTGTTTCAGGTACTAGCGAGGATCGCGGGAAGGCGTCGGCATGATCCGTACACACTCATGGAGTTTATGTTTTGAGATTCTGGGATATGTTTTTGTTATGATAACATTGGATACATTATGTTTGACATCATCTTATGAATAAAAGTATGTTTTAAAAATGAAAAATTGTTTTGGAAATTTACGTTGTTACAAAAACTTAGAGTTTTGTGTATTTTTTTCCGCAAGTACGTCTTTGCTACTCACTTTTCTGCTTGAACACGCCACATTTTTCCCTTTGTCCCTTCCCGGTGGTCGACGAAGTTGGACTTCCGGTGGACCCTCCCCCTCGGTGTCGTCGAAGTCTTCATTGAGGTTGACGCCAAAACCCACATCCGACTCGGAAGTTCATGGCCTTTTGTTGGAGCTGGTGGTCGATTCTGAATGTGACGTCTTCGACCCACTCCTTTCCCTTTACCCCCAGATCGTTTCTCTCTTCTCTCTGAGACTCCTTCGTCTCCTTCTCACCGCCCCCTCTGTTATCTTCTCCGACCACCAGTCGCCACTCCCTTATGGATAATTTCCCTTGCCATCAACACCAATATCACACAATTAAAGACTTCGTTTTCTCCGAGAGCTTTCATTATCCCTTTTCTCTATCGCCTGTCAACCCTAATTACTGTTAGGATCCTCCATTCTGGCATATCATCGATGCTTCGTCGATCTGTACCGAAGGGGAGTCGATGTACCCTAGCTGTCGACCACCATCGGACCACCGACATCCATAGATCTTTTCTCTTCCATCCTTCTTGCTGCGTCATCGATCTTTTTGCCATATGGGTTCCAAAAATTAAGATTGTGAAGGTTTTGGATCTATTGTCTTTCCCAAATTTTGATATTGGTTTTGGTTTTGAGGTTTATAAATCCATATTTCCTGCTGCTTCATCGATTATATGAATCCATATTTTGATGTTGATTGTGGTTTTGAGGTTTAAGATTGTAAAGGGTTTTGGATCTATCGTGTCTTTCCATTTCTTGTGAAGTATGGTTTGATGATTGTGCTTTGTTAGTCTTCTACCAAACTCCCATCGTCAGAGGCACGAAGGAAAAGAAATAAAAGAGTTTTTTTTTCTTCAAAATTTGATTTTAGTTCATGTTTTTACTTGTTTGACTTTGAGTTTCAACCGATATGATTTTGGGGTTTGTATTAGTTGTGGTTGCCAGAGATGAACCGGTTGTGAATGTCGAAATTAAATTTGTTACCTGATTTTTGAAAGGGGTGTTGATCTTTGAAGGGGGTGTTGACGGGGTGGGATGAGAATAATGATCACAATAAAATTAATTAATTAATTAATTAATAATTTAAATAATAATAAAAACTAAAAAATATTTGTAAGGGAAAAATAGTCTTTTATAGGGACCAAAGACGCTACAAAATAACGTTTGAGCGACCTTCCGAGTCAAAAAAAGAAGTTAGAGACTAAGTGTGCAGATCATCCCAAATGGTCCATATGGTTTATTTGTTAAGTAATATAAAAGTAGTTAGAGACTAAGTGTGCAGATCATCACAAAAATAACGTTTGAGCGACCTTCCGAGTCAAAAAAAGAAGTTAGAGACTAAGTGTGCAGATCATCACAAAAAAAAAAAGGTGCAAGTATAGGGACCATTTTTGGCGTTATTCTAAATATTAAAGAGATTTATGATGCATAATTTGACATTTGATGAGTAATTTTACTTTTGTTTCGATATTATTTGGAAAAATAGAAAATAATTGGCGTTGACCAATTTAACGTGTGTGACATACGGAAACAAGTTAATTAATTTATTTGAGAAAGCCAAAGCCAAGTTGCGAGTCGAATTTGTCAGCGGAGAAAACACGCTGAAGCAACCCATCCGTACCAATTCCCAACTCTCGATTTCGCATCTTCAGCCATCGTCCCCATTTGCCATTAAGACTAAAACATTTGTTTAAGCAAAATGCTCTTCATTTGATACCTTTCCTATTAATCAATCATATCGTGTTTACGAATCTTCATCAGCATTTGTTCTTCCATTTGATCCGTCGTTATGTACCCACAACAACCACCGCCATCGTCTTCATCGTCCTCCTCCGATCCGGCAGCCAATTATTGGGAGACTCACGTCATGGGAACACCGGTACCCCCTTCCTCCAACCAAAACAACCCCCACGCTCCTCCCAATCCCTACGCCCAATACGGCGCCCCTCCGCCTCAACCTCCGCCCAACAATATGGATAACGTCAAGAAGAAACTTAATATGTGGGGCAACAAGGCGGAGGTCGCCGCTACCAACATCTGGAGCAATTGTAAGTCTCTTTCTCTTCCCTCCATTTAATTTGCATGTGTGTGTGTGTGCGCGCGCCTTATTTATGGTTTTCTGTGATTGATTCAGTGAAAACGGGGCAATCTGTAACCGGATCTGCGTGGGGGAAAATGAGTTTGACAGCGAAAGCGTTAACTGAAGGTGGATTTGAATCCCTTTACAAACAGAACTTCACGACTTACCCACACGAGAAACTCAGCCGGACTTTTGCTTGTCACTTGTCGACGTCCACCGGACCTGTCGCCGGAACTCTTTATCTCTCTAACATTCATGTTGCCTTCTGTAGCGATCGCCCCTTGTCTTCCATTCAACCCAACGGCATGGAGGCTTGGATCCACTACAAGGTACTCCCATCTCCCATATCCACATGCCAAACTTCATAATTTATTACATAAAGCCAGTACTTTTTTCATGATTTAATCATTTTGTCAATCAAAAAGCCATCATACTTTTACAATCTTTTTAAGTTGACTGTTTTGACATGGCTCAAAAGGTTAAAATTAATGTAAAAGTTTAGTGGTTTTAATGAGATTTTTGACACTAAATCTTCCACTAAAACCATTAAATTTTTGACAAAATTTTCTGCTATAGAAGGTTTAAGCATATCAAAATGGTCGAAATAGAAAATATTGTCAAATTTAAGCGACGAAACTGATATACAGTGGTTACCCGTCTTTTATATATTTTGCTTTTTATTAGTTAGATAAATACAAGAAATAACTATACATTTTTCAAATGTATTTTTTCTTATTAGTATCTTGCTTTGGTTTATTTGTTAAGTAATATAAAAGTAGAAAAAAGGAAAAAGGAAAAAGGTGAAGTTGTTATTTCTCTTCTCTTCTCTAGCTGTTGGTTATCTGATTCTGATTATTTAATATAAACTGAAACAGGTAATAATCCCATTGGAGAAGATAGCCACAGTAAACCCAATCACAATCCCAGGCAAGAAACAAATAGACAAGTACATTCAGCTCTCTACAATCGATTGTCAAGATTTCTGGTTTATGGGTTTTGTGAATCATGACAAAGCATCAAAACATCTTCTAGCCGGTGTCTCCACTTGTGTTAAATCAGTCCCAATTCATCAATAAACACTTGGGCGTTTGTAATGTGTTTGTATGGTGTTTATTTACTATATTGTTTGATAGATAAACACATTAATTACCCATGGCTATGTTGATATCTGTTACTTTTGTTTTGTTTATATGCATTAGTTTTACTAATAATGCCATTAATGGTCTGCATACAATTTTTTATTGATAAACTATGAGAAAAAGGAGTAAATGCAAGAAATAGCATCTTACTTTTCTTTCTTCCTAATATAGCATTACACTTTCATTTTTGTTTTTCTTATTCAGACATTCTACTTTTTAACTTCTTTATTTTCTTATTAGGACTTTATCCATTTATACCTTGATTTTGGTTACAAGAAATAGCAACGTACTATCAATACATTGTTCTTTAAAAAAATACATCCACTTAAAGAATTTTACTTTTATTCTACATAGCAAAATCAAATATAAGTTGCTTTTTATTTGGATTACGTTGCAGAATTATTGGGTAGTTTTTTCAAAAGCTATTTCTTGCATTTAACCCTTGAAAAAACTACCTTATAGACGAAGCTAAGGGTGATTAAGGATCTCAAATCTTCTTCCACAATCATCTTTTTAAGAAGATTTTACAAAACAAATTCCATCAAAACACAAACAATTTTTTTTTGGGGCGTGGGTCTGTCACATGACATGACAGAGAATAATAAAAATCAACGCCTCTTCTTACTTCCCTTTGCTGCATTGGACTTATTAGGTGGGGTTACCATCAGGTACACGAATAAAACCACAAGGGAGATTACGGATACTAAGTTTCCATATTTCATCATCAGCCTCTGCACATTTACCAAAAAAGACACAAAAGGCTTCAGTTTTAACTTGTCTAATCCTTTCAATATATTTCTTACAAGGAAACTATGCTTTAAAACCTCATAACAAAAAAGGGATGCCATACAGTTTTTAAAGCTACATATAGAAAATGATAAGGTAAAGAAATGCATTGATGAAAAAAAAAAAAAAAAAAAGCTCGTACCTTAACCTGAAAGAGTAGCAGCCATCAAGCAAGAATCCATGCACAAGAACAACAATGTGTTATCAGTGAGAAACAAAAAACATATCTACAAGGATTAAATGCAAAAAATAGCAAAATACTTTTGTTTTTTTGTTTATTACAAGTTATAACATCCTACTTTCATTTCTTCTTACTCCAGCATTTTACTTTGAAAAATCTACCCAATTATAAAAATATTCAGCCATATACATAAGTAGCTAGATTTTTCAAAGTACAATGAAGTAATAAGAAAAAAAACTAAAGGTAAACTGCTGTATTTGTTAAAGTAAAATGCCTTAATAAGAAAAAAAATTGAAAGAAACGAAAGTGGGATGCTATAATACACAAATAAATAAAAGTACAATGCTATTTCATGTATTTAGCCAAAAGTTTATTTATCAAGTTCTTTTTATGGTAAACAACTTACAAGACCAAGTGTAGTTTTGCGTGGCTTATCTGATAGGATTTCAAGAGGCAGAAGTGGGGTTGAATATGCCTCCTGCAACAGTAAAAAAATTGTAAGACTATAAATTATAATAATAAAATAACTTCATATTTCCATGAATCTAACCTGTAGTGCAGCCTTTGTGGGGACACGGAATGTAATAACAGCAGGTGTGCTGTAAAAGACAGATTTTGTTCTGGATTCTAACTCAAATGAGTGTGATAGAAGAGCACCACTGACAATATAACATGTATTATATGAGATGATTAGTTCAAGAAAAGGAAATTATCAAATCAAATTATTAGAATATGATACATACACATCAAGTTTTTCCCAAGAGGTTGAAGTGTTCCCTGAGACAATGCTGAATATCTCAGGAGACCAGCCATCATCGGAGAGGCTAACATCATATGCAGCCCTGAATGCAAAAGATGTCAAAACTAAAGTATGAGATTATGTAACAATAATTTTGATAGATTTGTTAAAATTAACATAAACAAACAATAGAAACCATAGTTCTTAATTAGAGTAATTAGTCACTGCGTGTTTGCTGTTACAGTAAGGAGGTGAGAATTTATAACTACTTTACACTAGACTTTCAGAAAAGTCAATGGTTAGTCTACATTTTTCTAGGTCCTCATTCTGAAATCCAACATGAAGCATCTGAGATAGTTGAGTATTTCTTCCAAACAACTCTCCAGGCTTCCAGATTTTAACGATTATGTCAACTATATAACTGTAGATGAAGATATAGAATCCAAAAAAGGTAACTTAGACAAGATTTATAAAGGTGAAAGTCTGCAGCTCTTCAAAAGCTGTTACAGGAAGGAATAAATGTATAGAACTATATCCTTTACAAAGTGAAGATTTTTTTTTATTCGACATAAAAAAGATACTTAAACGCTTAATCTACTGTAACTAATTTGAGAAAAAGGGCTTCTTGTCAATTGGTTGTAGAACAGATCCAGACCATAAACACTATTAACAAGAAATGGAAATGGGGAAGAATCGGTTTAAAAGTTGGATGGAAAAATCAGTTTTAATTGAAATGCTCATCAGTACTAAATCTCATGTTCTATATTTTCAAAAAACTAATAATATGCTGTCAGCTGTTAGTGATACTGATAGAAGGCGTCAAGCTAATATCACACCTCATGACACAGATAAACTAGGAAACAGTGAATGGACATCAAGGGAAAATATTTCATTTATTTAAGTGGAAGTAGTGAACTCTATAAAGTAATAACATCGAATTAACAATCTTTTGTGAACAAGTCAAATGAACAATAAGAACACAAAGGTTGCAAAGTTAACCACAATTAAATCTTAACAGAAATCCAAAAGGTACAAATCTCTACCGACGTCTGAAAATGAAATACGCTCTAAGTAATATTAATTATTAAGCACTGAATCCATGAGCAATTACATGTTACGGAGCTGATGAGACAATTGTAACGATCAATTCACATAAATATACAACAAAGTAACCAAACGTAAGTAAAATTAATCGAGATACTTGAAGGACATGCATGCAGATGCAAATCATGAATCGGAACTATAGAGCAAAGAATCAGAGGTAGATGTAAACGACATAATATAAAAGGAAGTGATTGCGTACGCAGATCCTTGGTTATAGATGTTTATGGAAACGGAGAGTTTTTCGACGGCGGAATTGAGCCTATTGAGTGTGGCTTTCTTGTGAGCTACGATGAACGGAGCGTCAGATCCGGCATTTACCGTCGATGCGATCAAGAGGACTACTGCAATGGAGAGGAGAGAAACCATGGTGGTGAACTTGGCCATTTCTGTGATTTGATCGTACTAGCATGGATTCCAAATTAGGCAGGGTTTTTGTACTTTAGAGAAAGTGGGTTTAGGTGGGGCTTGAATAGGATGGGTATCCGACCCGGATATTGGATTTGGGCCCAGATCTGGATAAAAAATGGAGTGCTTATACTTATGGTAATGGTTCTTATGGACATGGTTATGACAGTCCCGTCTTGAAGGCATATCTTCTCTAATAATAATAATAATAATCTTCTCTAATAAATGAAAAACTTTTTTTTGCCACATGTCATCTTCTCCTTCATTTTAACACTTGTCATTTTGTGAGAGTTTTAGAATTTTTATTTTCCACTTGTCATTTTTTAAGGATTTCCATTTTCTTAAAATAAAATTGCAATGAGTTTTATAAGGAAATAAAATCATCCTATTGATTGATCTTCTCTAATAAATGAATGTTTTTTTTGCCACATGTCATCTTCTCCTTCATTTTGACTCTTGTCATTTTGTGAGAGTTTTAGAATTTTTATTTTCCACTTGTCATTTTTTAGGGATTTTCATTTTCTTAAAATAAAATTCCATAAAATTGCAATGGGTTTTATAAGAAAATAAAATCATCCTATTGATTTGATAATAAATTCTCATAAATCCTCCAAACGATTTAATTTTTTTTGCAAATGTTCCAAAAGATTACATTCTGTTATGTAAATTATTACTTTATAAAATATTTCATGTTTATATATTAATATTAAATTTTTATTTTTAATAAACCCGTGTAATACACGGGTCTCACACCTAGTAAATGAATAATCAAGAATGTTGCCGAAAATTTAATTTTAATTTATTTTTAAACTAAGATCTAAATGAATATTAACCAAAATATATTCATATGGTGTTTTAATATTTTGATGTAGAAACTAAATATCAAAACAAATATTTCCCTATAGGTAACTGTGACAACCCGGAACTTTTATCTCGCACACTTAGTCAATTCAATCAAAGTTAAACATGTTTTGTTGACTTCTGGCACTGTTTGAGGGTTCATTTAAGTGATTTTAAGCTCGAGTATGACCAACGTTGAGTTTAGGAACGAGTCAGCAAGCTATAGAGTGACAAAATCAGGACATACACACCCTTAGGGGGAGTGTACGGCCGTACACATGGGTGTGCAGCCGTACACATGGGTGTGCGGCCGCACACTCACCTCTTGGCCGCACACTCCCTTCTAGGCAGCACACCCACCCTATATAAAGGGTAGACCCCCTTTCCTTTCATTCCTTTAACATCCTGGCAGCACACAACACCTTTTCTCTCAAGACTCTTCAACGGCAAACCCTCCCAAGGCTTCAAAAACGTGAGTAATCCATCCCTTAGCTTGTTGTACTTGAAGAACCACTTCATCTAAGCCTTGATTCATCAAGTTTCATCATGTTCTTCATCCCTTGAAGGAGTACGGCCGCACACACACTTGTTCGACAGCACATTCCAAGTGTGCGGCAGCACACCCAAGTGTGCGACCACACACTCATTCTAGGGCCCCAAACACACTTCTAGGACCCCTAACTTGCACTACAATTGAGTATGGACCTAGGACACTTCATGGATTGCAAGTATGGACCTTGAAACACCCCAAGAACACCTTCCATCATGAGTGTACGGCTGCACACCCCTTGGGCCGCACACCCATGGCCGCACACACCTTAAAGGTGGCCATACACTCCCCTCATGCAATCCTTTAAGGTTCTAACACTTAGTGTGGGTAGTCCCAAGTTCTTAGAGTGGTCTTCGTCACATCTAGTGTGAAATACCTTCATTTGATTCCGTTATGTGTCATTACATGTTAATTAGGATCAAAGCGTGTTCAAGGCTTCACTTGAACATCCACCATTTCGTGTCGATCCTTCATTCAAATCACCCGAGGTGAGTTCATACCCCTACAATTTCCACGTTTTTAATGTTTTCAGGGGGGGGAATACAAGCCAAACTCTAAGTATTTTGTTAAGTTTTAAACTTATTAATGCAGTCCAACGATTTCCACGTTTAATAACATATTCGGATATTTTATCTCTTTTTGTAATATGTTGAGCATAAGGGAAACTTCTATTTTGGAAATCCAACTTCATAGCTTTCAGAAAGGTTTTTACAAAGCATTTTCCATATCAACTCTAATAAACTATAATGGGTATAGTTTGGGATAACCCTCTAGGCAGTCTCTACTTAATCAGATTTCATAAATGAATATATATAAACTATGGCAGATTTAGTTTATGTTATATATTTTCTCAGGAGTATAAAGTACTATTATTCAAGGATAATTATTGTTTTATACTGTTTCTCGCTAGTAAACTAGATTATACAGAATTGTGAGGCTCTACTTCAATACTGTGCACTTAGGTGTATAGTGATAAATCCTTTTAGTATAACCAGAGTCTCCTGGAGGGAGAGCGTGGGATTTGTGAATAGATCTATTCGGGACTGACAATCCCACACCAGAACTGCTAGCTACAGTTAGGCAGACATGCCTGTGGTGAACAAATTTCATTTAGCTTTACGCCTGAAGAACGTTATAAAGGTCTCTCGGTCATATCAAGTATGGTTATACGACTCGCAAATAAGTATAAACTAACTTTGTTTACGGACTCTATTCTTCATTTGTTTTATTTTAAGTAATAAAACTACTTTTATATATGCTGATAGTAATCAAGGACTTCTAAACTGACATCTCTACCTCTAGGACGGATAACATGTTTTCTAAAACTGATGGTTTATTTTCTACTAATAGACACTCTTTCAAGACCGCTTTTCATAAGAAAATACAGGATTTTCTTGAAGAACACTTTTCAAATGGATTCAAAGAACATTTTCTCACTAAAACTAAATGCTTATGAACTCACCAGCTTTATGCTGATATTCTTTCAAAACTGCTTGTATTCTCAGGGAATTAGTAAACAGGTACTTCCAGGAGTTCGGAGAAGACGAAGCGTTAGAGTCGCAACTGTCTATTTTACTTTTGATATGAATAAAACTATGTATTAAACAATGTAAACCTTTTTCACATATGTATTCAATGTCTGGTTGTGTTTACTATGCTTGCTATGATACAATTGTTGTGATACTACGTATGACGTCCTCCACCCCGGAACGATTCCGCCATCACGGTTTCGGGGTGTGACAGTAACCAAATAACGAAAAAACTTTAAGTTCCAATATCCAAGCAAGCAAACCAACTAATATTATTTAAAGCTCGTTTAAATAAAGTACAATAAATTATTTGTTTAATGGAGAATTTTGTGCTAAATTATACATGCTTTTATAGACATTTGATGGGTATTTAAATAATTAAAATATGACGATGTTTAATTACCTTATATTTATATTTTGTAACTAAAAAATTCATATCGATGAAAATGAATGAAAATAGCCTAAAATAGAGCTAAATTAATGAGTTGGAGCAAAACAGAAAAATGCTTGCTAAATTATAAATTGGTTAATGGACCCACTTGCAGTGTTTGGGTCATATCTTTTGACTCGTAACTCCAATTAACAAGTTTAAATATGTTCTGGAAAAATAGACAAAATTTCCTACAACTTATGTGTAAGGGCCTTTTTGCTAAATTCTCTTGTATCATGTCCAAAATCGATTTTTGAAGTCGGACCAATAAAGTTGGAGTTAAGCATGGAAAAGATTGAATATTCTGAAGATATAAAGGCATATTATAAAACAAATTTGTAATACTCATATTTTATGTATTTTTTCCTCGTATTTCAAGGAAATAAAGAAATAAATAAATAAATAAATATAATAAAATAAAAATGACACCCAAAAAATTAATAATGTTAGATGTTTTGAATTTAAGGGCTGAAAGTGTCAAAGTTAAAAACTTTCATTGTAACAAAAACTGACTATGGGGTAAAGACCGTCAATTGAAAGTCAGGGGTAGGAAGTGAAAATTTTGCTTATTCCGTGGGAGATCGACTGTCACACCCAAGGCCGATGGCGGAAATGCCGAGTTGTGCGACGTAGGGATAATTGGATCGAGGCAAACAGATATATTGAACAATAGACAGAAATATAACACAAACGATACTTTTATTCATTATAATTTAATCGGTGGTTACATTGTTTGGTAGATTAAGCACACAACCTAAACAATACTAGAAAATAAACAGACATAAAAAAACTCCAGTATGCTTCCTTGACGACATCCTCCTCCACACGGCTATCCTCCACACTCATCTCCCTGAGAATACATGTATTTTGAAAACGTCAACATAATGTTGGTGAGTTTACAGTTTTTATAGTTTTCTGTTTTATTCGATTATTTTAATTAAGAATCATTTTTCTTTTAGAAAAACATTTATTTCCTTGTTAAGATATTTTACCAATCCTAACTTAAAACGCTTCTAGGATATTTTATCAATCCTAATTTATTATATTATATTTTAGGATATTTTGTCGATCCTAATCTATTATAATATTAACGACTCGCATGCGTCTCTCTAGGTAGTTGGTTCCTTAGGGTTTTCGGTTTGTATTGCCATGAGCCCCCATAATCGACGTTGTGGACTAATAATTTTCCCCGCACGACGCTTCATCGAACGTCGAATAGTACTTATATATAATAAAGAAAGTTATCTTGTCGGGATTATAACTAGCAATCGTAGGTGGGGGTGTTAGTCCCGTATAGATCTATACATATCTTTCTGGCTCTCGTGATATTAATGATTATAAGTTTGGGGTAGCCGAATTTAATCAGGCTAAGGATGAATAATAAAAGCTCACTAACACATTAACCTTTGGTGTTTTATCTTTTCTTTAACTCTTTTATAAAATATTTAATTATCACTATAAAAGTTTTTTACTTTATATTTGATAATTAAAATTCTTATACCTCATAATTATCTTTGTATACATATATATTATTTACCATATATATACCATAATTATGACTGATTTGAAAACATGATATTCGGGCAGAGTAACAACTAGATACAGTGCATATCTATATTGACCATCATTACTTCTAGGTACTATGATATCCTAGGAAATTGACCAA